CTGAGTATTGTCTGGGAAAGTCACTGGACCATACAGATTGGACCCCTTACAGATTTGCTGTATCAGTGATCATCGACTCAAAGCTTTTTCAAAAGTGTATTTCCCCCAGCTCTTCCTGACTGCCTAAAAAATACTATCTTCATGCTTGGGCTGGGTCTTCTGGTGAAATCAAGAAGGAACATGAGCATGCCTCGGTATAGAAGAATGAGAGGTATATTTAATCAATATTAAATAGTGAAATGAGAACAAATGGAACAAAAGTAAAACATACAGCAAATTAGGACATTTCTCATGTTGAAACTTTTATTTCAGTAAACTTTTATACATTGATACATTGATCTAATTAATTTTATTCAATAATCTTTGCTTACTTTTTGGATCTGTGCACTACAGAAATCTTTATTAAGTTATCAAAAATATAGGTGTGGTATCAACTGAATTGGTGGGCAAAAAGCATTTCTATAAATCAAAATATATTTTATTTTTACTAAGCGGCTGAGGTATAGCAAATAAACTTAAATCTATTGTAATTAAGTAATTAAAATTTAGGATTAAAATTTCATTCTGTTTACTCACAAAATTCTTATTTACAGATATTTTATGAATAAAATTAAAGCAGCAGGTATTTTGTGGTAATTTGCCAATATTTGACTTGAATCAAAACACAGTCCATGGGGCGCCTGGGTGGCTCAGTGGGTTAAAGCCTCTGCCTTTGGCTCAGGTCATGATCCCAGAGTCCTGGGATCGAGCCCCGTGTCAGGCTCTGTGCTGGGCAGGGAGCCTGCTTCCCTCTCTCTCTGCCTGCCTCTCTGCCTACTTGTGATCTCTCTGTGTCAAATAAATAAATAAAATCTTCAAAAACAAACAACAAAACACAGTCCATATCTCCTATTACTTCTACCAGACATTCTAATAAGAAATAAAAATCTTTTAATTAAATAATTAATTTGGGGGAGAGAGAGAGTGCTTGAGCAAGCAGGTGGAGGGGCACAGGGAGACAGAATGTCCAGCCGACTCCCTGCTGAGCATGGAGCCTGATATGGGGCTCAATCCCACTGCCCTGAGATCATAACCTGAGCCGAAATCAAGAGTCAGACGCCCACCTGGCTGAGCCACGCAGGTGTCCCAAATTTTACTTTTTTCTTAATTTGGGAGGACAGGAATCATTTATAAAATGCCAGTCAGTATTTCTCAAACATAAAATTCAGAACCTGAATCATTTGCTCATTAGGTGCATAAGGTCATTATTAAAAACCCTTAAGAGGTTTAGAATGAAAAACAGCATTATGATAACCAATCTTTTCATGAGGTTTGGTTTGATATTAACAGTAATATCTAAGTTTGAATTTTGATGATGTTAAAGAGGTTGTTTTTTTAAAAAACAATATAGCATATATAGAAACTGTTGGTAAAAGCTACGAACAGAAATGAATCTTATACTAGCGCTGCCAAACTTTCCAAGTTTCTCCCTGCAGGTGTTATGTTGGGTTGACTCTATTTCTTGGTTGGTCTTTAGTGACACAGCACTTGGGTAGATACTAGGTGCCTTACTGGATCTTACTATCTTATTACTTGACTTGAGCTATGGTTTATGCCATCAACTACAAAACAGAAAAGGAAAAGCCGCTAAAATGTAAAACAGTTTTAACCAAGAAGGTAAATACTTGCTGAATCCTGGATGTTTTTACGTGTTACCAAATAGGTACACAAAGTTACTAGGAAAAAGAAACAAGGATGTACAGGTGCTCCTGAAAAACTGATGTCAAACTAACACTGGGTCAGATATTTATCAATGTTCATGTGCAAGTGGCAACATTATTATAGTAGAGAATGGAATAAAAGCTTTACATAATCCAAAAGTACCTTAAGATACATAATCATTTTTTAGAATATTAAAAATATTAATATTATTTTAAATGCAATATATACCTGTTGATTATGGTGAAGCTTTTCTGAATATATTTTTCTGCTAAGAAACTTAACTTATTGGAAAAAAGGGGGAAAAATCTGAGACTGTATGCCTAGAATTTCTTTATCTCTACCTTCTCACCATATATATTTCTGCCCCCAGATGTTAACAAATCATTCCTGAAAATGTTTAAACCATGTATCATAAAGCATAATGTTATAAATCACCAGAATTAATAGTAATTTTCCTGGCCTATCAACCTACAGAGAAAAAAAATACCTTTTAAACTAGTTCTTTAAATAAATAATATTTGGAGCTCATTCAGTTAACCTAATATCTGGGGGGGAAATCATAAAACCATAAACTTTAATCTTATAAACTTCCAACCTAAACTCCTAACCCAAAAATTATACAACAAATTAAAATTTAAAAATTTTTGGTCTCAGATCCCCAGCTCTACATTGTGCTCTTTTCCTCCCAACTACTATTCAATATTTTCAAAACTAAAACATTACTTAAGAATGCTTTGGTGCCTATAGGAAAACTTAGTTATGTGTTTGCATGTTCTAATAATAGGTGTGATTCACTTTTATAACTGGTGTTACGGAAAACCTGTGAATAAATTACTAAGGTAGCCAACTGTTATTTAAAAGAACTTAACAAGGAATTCCAAGCAAAGATGCCTTCTTACAATGCATATAAAGACAACAATATTTCTATTTTCAAATTTTCTGTATCATTTTTCAGTAATGTGATATCAGACAGTAATAGGATATCTGTCTTTCCAAATTCTGCCCATAGGTTGTTTTTAAGTGCAGTTAACTTATTGTATTACTTATTCAAAAAGCAAAACATCAAAAAGAAAAACTAATACTTTTCAGTACTTGTCTTTCACTCATTTTTTTTTTTAACTGACTGAATTTAAAGTTCTTCACACATGTCAAAGAGATTGCAATAAGGGTGTGGGTTGTGCTCCTTGATTTCACACAAAGTCATACAAACAGGATGGGTATTTTGGAAATTAAACCATTCAGGCTAATACTGTTCCTTCCCCCCTCCCAACAGAAACTATGACTAAATAAACCACAGACAGCAGTGAAGTGCAGTGGTTAAAAGCTGTTAAAGTTAATTACCTTCCTTGAACCTGTTAAGCAGTGATAAATTAATAATATAAAGCCCAGTGTCTGGCATATAGTAACTGCTCAATAAATGTTTAACTGTTACGATTATTCACATTAATAATTCAATACCAATTCCTGCTTCATCTGCTTTCTAAATACAGAATCTCCCCCTTACGTTCCACATCTTCAAAATCACCCCACTCACTAACATATGCTGGAGATACTGGAAAACCTCCCACCTTGAAAATTTTTAAAAGGCTATCCAGATCTAAAAGATTAAGGTGACTAAATATTTAGATATGGAAAGGTGAGTCTTTATCCAAATGTTTTAATGAAATGCTCAAATCTGTGAACGTTCTGTGAAATGTATCAATATATTGATCCACCATTTTCATAGCATTTCGCAAATCCATTACCTACAGCTTTTTTATTACGAGTATTTCCTAGACTGACACATACCTTGAAGACATGAGTCACCTTTCCAGAGTTGGGGAAACTGATGGAAAGATGGCTAAATGATTCAGCATGCTGCAGCAAAATGAGCTGGTCATGAATCTATAATTTCTACTTCTGTTAGGTGCCCTGGCCCTGGCGGCCTCTTCCACTCTGTACTGTATATATAACGCATGATACCATATCAACAAATTCTGTTAAGAATTCCCTCAGGAAAGGAGTAATGCTGTTTTCCCCTCAGACAAGCCTCTCAAAGCAAAATTACTCAATTTTACAACACAACAGCCTCACAAGGTTGGACAACCCTTACAACGTCCAGCTGTAAGCTCCATCAAGCTGTGCTTATACACATAATAGGACTAAAGTCAATTCTAACACTAGAGCCATTTTCTCAGCTGCACAAGGCAGACACTAGGGAAGGCCTGAAGCAAAAGAAACCCAGGAAATGGGCAAAGGAAGCCAGATGGGAAATGGGTATGGCTACACTTGTGTCTCTTAGGCCAACACTGACCTTTACCAACAAATATATCAGAGCAGATCCTGAGCATCTCAGAAAGACTGAAAAGCTGCTACAGAACATATTTTGGGTACATGTTTTTAAATGGAAAGCCTTTTTCGAGGTCCCTATTTGTCCTTCAATAACAAAATATTGACTGTGATAATCCAATGAAAAATTTTTTATCAGAAATCCATGGATTCCAAACTAAATCAAAGCTTTTTTTCCCCATCAAATAACCAATAAAAAGAAAAAGCATTATGAATGAAATGTTTTCTTGTAAAAGTGCACCATCTCGAATGCTGGGAAAGCACATCCATTTTGTGACCACAGCAGAGTCATTCTGCCCAGCAGTTTCTGAGAAAGGGACAAAGAAGTGTGCCAGGATGTGTAAGATGAAATCGCCATTATCTCTGAAGTCCAATTTCCTCATTCAATAGCTTGAATTTATTTTGGTTTGGTGTGGTTACATACAACATACACTCACACCCCCACACTCAAACATGAAATCTCAGCAGCCACACTGAAAAAGAAGACACTATTTTAAAACTATTCAAAAATGTATTTAGAAAACTAGGGTGACAAGTTTGACCTTTTAGGATTTCATCTTTCTTAATCTTTTCTTTTTGGAAGCGGTATATGACTCTGCAACCCCTGATTTCCTGTAACCTGGACAAAGGGGTGGGGTGTGAAGAAAGAAAAAAAGAGGAGAAAAGTGCCTAATCCAGAATGTACAATTCCTCAGTATTTTATAGTATTAATACACATAGTTTTGTTTTTGCTTTTTTTCCTCCACCAAGACCTTGGAGGTCAACAGGAGAAAAAAAAATGGCTCATACACAAACAAGGTTTCAGAGTTGACCCAAGGCAACACCTCCAGGTCTGGAGATTTCGAGCTCAGGGGCAGCCCAGCTGTGACTTCTGAAAGCTGCAGCATTATCTACAGCAAGCCCAGGCCGCACGCCGGCATCCAGGGCGCCTCTGCCGTGCGCATGTCCCACTTATATAAAAAGATGCTTACAGTCCAGGTGCTTTTTCTTGGGGCCCATCACTTCATGAGTGGTGGCTTTGCAGACCGCTCTCGCAACAGCGGAGCCTGTCACGCTGTACTGAGCGGCGGCGATCCGATCCGTAAGCGTTTGGCCCGACATCTTCTCCGGCCGCGTCTATCACCTCCTCTTCTGCGGGAAGGAAAGGGAGATGGTCCTGCTTTAAACCCGCAGATCCTACCCTCCGAGCACCCCGGCCTTGCCTCCTCCAGCCGCACGGCGGCTCTCTTCTCCTCCGTCCCCGCCCTGGTACCAGCTCTAGGAGCCAGCAACGCGCAAAGCCCCGCTGTTGAGACGCGATCCAGAGGGGTCTCCAACAAGAGTAGGTCCGTCACGGAACCCCAGCACGGGCTCCGGTCCCAGCTTCGTGACACCGTCCGGGTCCCACTCGCCCTGCAGCCCGCCTCTCCCCTCCGCCGCCCGCCTGTCAATCTGCACTTTGCCTGCAACCTGATCCCCGCGTGTCCGACCAGCCCCGGCGTGCGTCGGGCTTATTCCCTGGGCGCCGCGCCCACCGGGTGCCCACCTCTCGCTTGCCCGCCGCGGCGTTTCTTCCTCGTAGCCCGCAGGCTCCAGGGGATGAATCGGATACCCAAGCCCTGACCGTTTCTCTCCTCCTCCTCGCGCTGCTGCGGCAGTGGGCTCGTCCTCCCTCGGGCGCGGTAGAGATTATCCTAGCGTTGCGCCATATTATGCCCTCGCCTCCCCTTCCTTCCTCGCCACCGCCTCCAAAACCCCGCCGAGGCCCTTCGCCCGAGTCCCCTCCCCTCGCCCCCAATCTCCGCCGCAGGGGCCGCCCGGGGGCTCTGCGGAGGCGCCGGAGTCTCTCGGCGCCTCGCCCTTCCTGGCAGTGGAGCAGAGACGGGCTGACAGCCCAGCCCAGCCCCCCGCCCGCACTCGAGCGCGCCGCGGAGCTGTCACCCAGCCGCTGCCCTTCTCCGCGCCCTAGGATTATCCTCTCCGGATCCGCGCGCTGCCCCGGCGCGGGGGAGGGGGCCACGCCGGGGCCGCGGGTACTCACCCCGCCCCAGGAGCGGCGCCTCCAGCCGCAGGATGAGCGGCGCCTGGGCCGCCGAGGGAAGCCGCGCCGGGTGGGTGTGTGCGGCCGCGCGCGGACCCGGTTCCCCGGGGCGAGATGCCTCCAGCCCTAGCGCGGCCCCCCGCCCTCAGCTCCGGGGTCCCTGCGCCCGCAGCCTGTGGCCCCAGGAGCCTGTACCCGCCCGCCGCCGCCTCCTCCGCCGGCGCTGCCGCGTCTCTCTAGCGATCCGCGCCGCGTTCCCATCCCCGCCCCCACCTCAGCTGTGGCTGCTCCAACGAGTCAGGTGACGGCGGCGGACTAACCCGGGCGAGCTCTCCTCCGAGTGCCTCGCGGCCCCCTCCCAGCTACTCACACACGCCACCCCCCACACACACCCCCGGGACCGCCGGCTTACAGGCAAGAGGGTGCCGCGCGCGAGCATCCCCGGCCAGCGCGAGACGAGAAGGAGGCGGGATGGCAGGGAGGCCGACACCCACCAGCCAACCAGCCTCCGCCAGGCGCCCAGCAGCCCCTCCGCCGGCTAGACCCGCACCCAGCACGCACTGCGTGCGCGCACACCGCGCACACCTGCCGGGCTACTGCGGGATTCGTGGAGGGCGGCGGGGGCGTTCGAGCAGCCCTGCCAGTGGGCTCTTCAAGTGCTGCTGCGAAGGCCAAGGCTAGCGCGTTGTCGCGCGCGGCCGGGCAAAGCCCAGCCCTTCTCTCCTCTACATTCAGTCTCTGACACGCCCGGCTGTCGGAGGCAGCCGCGGCCGGGAAGGGCAGGGCGATTTAAATGTCAGATTCTGCAAGCCAGCCATGCTGTTACCTGCGTCTCGGCTCCTTGATCTCCTTTACCTGTTTCAGTTGCAATTGGGAGCTAGGGTGGGCAGGTGATTCTAGCCACTTTCGTCTTAAACGGATACAGAGGTCTGCTGCAAGCGCGAAAAACGAACAAAGTCATCAATCAAGGCCCAAATTATATTCACAGTAATTATTTGGGTGTGTAGGGAAAACTCTTTGTATCCTTAAAAAGTAACGTCTACCAATTAAATATAGTGTCTGAATGTCTTAAGTATATTCGAATTGCATAGATGAATTTCTGAACGGGGATTTGGACTGGGTTAGTAGTTAAACGTATTCCCATTTTCAAAAATTGCTACTTATTGTAATCTTGAAAAACTTTTACATTCTCCAAGTAGAATCAAGATCAGAATTTAAGCTCAGTTTTCTTGACATTTTTTCCTGGCTGCACGTAGCCTCTTAGACCTTAAGGGCTTAAAATGTCTACCTATAGGTATTAGGGTTTTGTGGTGTACTCTTTTTAACTGGTACAGTGTTCATTATGGAGTCATGATTTCATAACTTCAGGGACTGAGTCTTGCATTAATTAGAAATGTGTTGAGTAAAGAAAGATAGCCTAAGACCACCATTCTTGGGTTTCAGATACTAGTCTTGCTGTATGATCTAGCAATAGGACACCTAGATATTTGTCCAAGAGAAATAAAGAGATAATTCCATTTAAAAACATGTACCCAAATTTTGCAGTAGCTTTATAGAATGGCCCCAAGTTGAAAGAAACACAAATACTTTTCTATTTGTAAGTGGGTAAACAAAATGTGGTCTGTCCATACAATGGAATGCTACTAAGCAGTAACAAAGAACAAACTAACAATGGGGTTAAAAATACATTATGCTAAATCAAAAAAGTCCAAGCTCTAAATGCTACATGTTGTGATTCCATTCATATAACATTCTGAAAAAGGAAAAACTATAGAGACAGAAAGCATATCAGATGTCAGGAGTGGGGGAAGAGACTGATCACAAAGGGACAAAAGGTGACTTGTCATAGTGATGGAAATATTCTATATCATAACTGTGATGATGGTTACATAACCCCACATATTTCTCAGAACTTATCAATTTATACACTTAAAATTGGTGAATTTTGTTATGTGTAAATTATACCTCAATAAATCTGATAAAAAGAACTTTAATGACAATATTAACATCATACAAAGTAGACTTCAGAGTAAGGAATATTAGTATGGATAAAGAGGTACATTTCATAATGATAAAAACTCATCAAGCATATGTAACAATCCTGTATGCTTATATACCTAGGAACAGAGCTTCAAAATAAGCTAAAGCAGGGGTGCCTGAGTGGCTCAGTCAATTAAGTGTCAGCTTTTGGCTCAGGTCATGATCCTCCATCAGGCTCCCTGCTCAGTGGGGAGTCTGCCTTTCTTCTCTCTCTCTCTCTCTCTCTCTCTGTCAAATAAATAAATAAAATCTTTTTAAAAAAATAAGCTAAAGCAAAAACTAAGAGCTTTAAAAGGAGAAATAGATCCACAATTCGAGGATTTCAACATTCTAAGTAATTGATAGAACAGGTAGATAGAAAATCAGTAAGAATATAGATGGCTTGAAATAACCATATTAACATTTGACCTAATTGACATTTCTTTTTTTTTTTTTTAAAGATTTTATTTATTTATTTGTCAGAGAGAGAGAGGGAGAGAGAGCAAGCACAGGCAGACAGAATGGCAGGCAGAGGCAGAGGGAGAAGCAGGCTCCCTGATGAGCAAGGAGCCCGATGTGGGACTCGATCCCAGGACGCTGGGATCATGACCTGAGCCGAAGGCAGCTGCTTAACCAACTGAGCCACCCAGGCGTCCCCTAATTGACATTTCTAAAGAACTCCACCCAACAATGGTAAGACACATTCTTTTTAAGAACATATGGAACATTCACCAGGATAGACTACAGTCTGGGCCACAAAGCTAGTCTCATAAATTTAAAAGAATTACAATCATGCAAACTGTATTCTCTTACTAGTGTGGAATTTAATTAAAAATTAGTAACATATCTGCAAATCTCTAAATATTTGATAATTAACAACACATTCTAAATAATCCACAGGCCTAACTTTCCCATAGGAAAATTTACTTTTGAACTGAATGATAATGAAAATGCAACATATCAAAATTTGTAGGTTGCAGGTGAAGAAGTGATTAGAAGGAAATTTAGGGCATGAAAATGCTTACATTCGCAATGAAGAAAGACCTACGAAGAACTTCAAATTGCAATCTTAAGAAACTAGAAATAGTACAATTTAAATTTAGCAGAATTTCCTTCAGAAAAAAAGAAATAATAAAAACAAGAGTAAAAGTTATTAAAATATTAGTCAGACTAGTCAAAGAAAGGAGATGACACAAATTTCCAATGTTAGGAATGAAAGGCAGAATAGATCCCACAGACGTTAAGAGGATAAGAGAATGTTATGAACAACATTATGTAGATAAATTAGACAATTTTCATGAAATAATGAAATAGTATAGAATTGTGATTCTCCAACAGTCCAATAGTAATGTCATGTCACATATATTGTTATTAGTTAAGAGGTTTGGAGCAAGTAACATGTTTCCAGTAATGGTCAAAATAATATAGTCTGTAAGTGATTTACTTTTCAAAATTAAATTGGAGTAGATTTGCAGTCAGTCCTCTAATAGGTTGAAATTACATGTTGTTATTTAGGCCCAGATAGCACTGTGAAGTATGGGAGGCCATAGTCTGTATCTGACATACTGCTCATGTCTGTTGTGCTATAGGTGGGAGGGTATCCCACACATGGACATCCTTCTGTCATGGGTAGTAGCAGAAAAATATTTGAAAATCTGTAAACTATCAAAGTGCCATATACAAATTAGTAAATTATGTCAAGAGTAGAACCAACTTATGAAAGGCTATTGGTTGTTTTGGAAGAAGGTCTTACTGAGCTTTAATAATAATGCAAATATGCAAATAATAGCATATTTGCAGTGACAAAGATTAAGAAATGCCAGGTCCTTGGGGCACCTGGGTGGCTCAGTCGGTTAGGCGGCCAACTCTTGATTTCTGCTCAGGTCATGATGTTAGGACTTGGGATCAACCGAGCCCTCAGGCTCCACACTCAGCAGGGAGTCTGCTTGTGAATTCTCACTCTCCCTCTGTCCCTTCCCCCACTTGCATGTACTCACTCTCTATCATATGATCTCCCTGATATGAGGAAGTGGAGATGCAACATGGGGGGGTTAAGGGCGTAGGAGAAGAATAAATGAAACAAGATGGGATCGGGAGGGAGACAAATCATAAGTGACTCTTAATCTCACAAAACAAACTGAGGGTTGCTGGGGGGAGGGGGGTTGGGAGAGGGGAGTGGGGTTATGGACATTGGGGAGGGTATGTGCTATGGTGAGTGCTGTGAAGTGTGTAAACCTGGCGATTCACAGACCTGTACCCCTGGGGATAAAAATATATTATATGTTTATAAAAAATAAAAAATAAATAAATAAAAGAAATCTTAAAAAAAAAAGGAAAAAGAAATGCCAGTTTCCTCTATCTGGGAAAACCTAGAAATACAACCATGAATGTTGTATATGAAACTGAAGGAAAGAAAATTGATCAAAAGGTAGAAATATATTGAGAGGAAGAAAAATGATTCCTTAACAGTATACTCCCTTTGAAGGTCCAGAACACAATAAATAACATTCAATAAATTTTAGTCAAGAAGGGCATTGGTGGGGCTCTGAGTGGCTTAGTTGGTT